CTGTCCCCGGCGCTGTCCCCGGGGCTGCCGCAGCCCCGCAGCTCCCGGCGGCCGTGCCAGCCCCCGTCCCTGCCGCGGCCGGGCTCCGACAGGTCCAGGGGCGCGTCCGCATCATCGTCCCTCGCCTCCTTCACCTTCGCTCGCGGCTCCGAGCGCTCCCGGCCCGGCCAGAGCTCCTTCTCTTCCTTCCCATCCGCAGCATCCTCCAGGAAGAAGCTCTCCTCCTTGCAGGCTGCCGCGATGCCCAGCCAGGGGGACGGCGGCCGCTCCCCGGGCCGGAGCTTGCTGTCCCTCTGGCACTGCTGCAGGAGGAGATGCTGCAGCCGCTCCCGCTGCTTCAGGAGCTGCAGCTTCTCCTCCAGCTGCTGGTCCCTCACGTACACCATGGTGGCAGGAAGCTGCAGCAAGGCTGCGTGGTCATCCCAGCCGTCCCTGGAGCGCGTCCTGCCGCCGGCAGCCTTGGCCCGGAGCAGGGGGCTGGGGAAGCTGTCCCGGTCAGCCGGGGCGCAGGGACCCGCCAGCCCCAGCTGCTGCAGGGAAAGGTGCTTGTGCAGGAGGCACAGCTGCTCTCTCCGGGCACTCAGCTTTAGATTTTCGTAGGATGGAGCAACTTTTGGGGAGTCCAATTTGCTCGCTGTTAAATAACTAAAAAAAAAGCGTGGGGTAAAATAAAAATTACATTAGGTAGATTTCATTAGCAAAAAAAGACAAACCCCCCCCCTCAAAAAAAACCCCCAAAAAACCCAAACAAAAAACCCCCCCAAAACAACAAAATAAAAAACCCCAAATCCACAAAAAAAATCAAAAAATCATCACATTAGCATTAGAGTTTTCGCATGGTTTCCCAGCTCTGCAGGGATGTGTGTGGTCTCTCCTGCTCTTTCCATGCCCTGTTGCAGCTCTTGGCCAGCACATCATGTTTGTCTTTGTGTTCTGTGCTGGGGAGGAGGGTGCTGGTGGCCAGGGGCATCAGGCAGTCGGCAGTGGGTCTCCACACAGTGCAGGAAGCCATTCCCATCCCAGCATCCAGCAGCAATCCCCTGTGCCTAGGCCATGGCAGCTCAGTGCAGGGGGTTGAGTGAAGGTGAGGATGCAGTGACCTCTCAGATCAGCACTGCTACTCAGTCAGTTTATGAATAATGACAGCCAGCAACATCCTAACTACTCCCCTGGGCTTTCTTAGTGCCTGGAGATCCCCAGGACAGAGGAACAGCCCACCCTCCCCTAATCCCAGTCAGTGGGAAACTTTTACAGCCATCCTAGGAAGGTTGGTACAGTGCAGGAGCCTGTTCTGCAAACCCAGTGCCTGCTGCTCTGGTTATTTGGCAGCTTCCATGAGTGTAAGCTGTTCCCAGGAATGCCCAGCAGAACTGCTCACACTCTGGGAAACTCGCTGTCTCTACAGGTGAACTCACTGGCCTTGCTCAGCCCTCTGTGCTCCTGAAATCAGTGGGGAGGATAAGCCTGGGAAGTGCTGAACCCTGCAGCAAAGCCCATTAGAGCAGATAAGGAGGAGCAGGAGTTGCTGCCTGCCTGGGACAGTCCTGCCTGGATGTGGGGGCACCCAGTTCACTCTGTGGGTCTGCCTGAGGAGCTGGAATAACGAGAGCCTGATCTTGTTGGGCCGGACTCCAGTCATTTTTTACTGGTGCAAACTGGGATATCCCCCCCTTCCCAAGGCTGTGGGAGAAGTTTGGAGAGCAAGGTGGGCAGACACAGTGAACACTGGCCATCCATCCATTGAGGGACAGCTGCAGTGGGTGAATCAGGCCCACACCATGACTCCCAAGCTGGTACTCACGCCTCGAGGCTGGGGCTGTGCTCACGCTCCGGAGGGAGAGGAGTCTTCCTCGCTGGTGGAGACACTGCTGCCCCTGAAGGACTCTTTTCCAGGAGGCAGGGTCTGGAGCCAGGTCTCACCAGGGCAATGGTTCCATGCAACTGGTTGGAAATCCTCTGGGATGCCTGTGGCAGAGGACAGAAAGTCCAGATGAGTCATTTTGCAGTGTGCCCCAGGCTCCAGGGAGCCCAGCTGAACTGGGACACATCTCCTCACCAGTGAGAACATGACAGACAGCTCCTGAGTGTGCTGCTTGATTATGGTTCTGGTCAACAGCTCTATCAAGTTTTTGTTCATTTTTCCAGGAAACTTTCCCTTCATGTACTCTCTGTTTTCTGGCTGCACTGATTTGTAGCACAGGAAGTTTTGCATCTTCTCTTAAGTCATGATTCAGTGGCTTAACCAAGATAAGACCCTGCAAATTCCTTGTCCTGTAGTCAGGCCTTTTTACTCATGCAAAATTTTATTCATGCAAGCTCCTGGCACACACAGGTTTGGTGGGTGTATTTCTGGTGGAGAACCTGGGCCAGGACATGGTTGTCTCCATCAGCTGTCATGAAAAGCTCACCACATGTTCTGACTTGACTTTCCCCTGCCCACCTGGAGATGTCACCAACCCTTCCTGTGATCCCTATTAATTATCCCCACAGCCTGCCTGCAGCCTTGCCAAAACCCCTTTTCACCTGCTCTTTCAAGTTTTTTGTGGAGACCTGTGCCAAAACAGGAGAATGTCTGTGGGTGTGTGCACTGGCTTGAGTTGCCATGACCAGGAACAAGGTCCAGCTCCTGCAGTCTCACCTCCCAGTGCCCAGTGTCACTGGCTGACACCCTCTCTGTGTTTGTCCTTGCAACCACTGAGTGTCAGCCCTCTGGAAATGACAAACTACCAGGTCTGGCTTCTTCCACTCCCCAGGTGCCTCCTACTCTTTCCCTGTCCCAGTCTGCTTGTCTTGATCCTGTTCAGATGACCACAGCAGTGGGGAGAAGGCCTGAGGACATCAGGCTGCCTATGACAACTCACCATTTCTGCAAGGCTGACTTCTTGGAGGACAGTGCCTGGAGAAGTCCTGCTGCTTGGAGAGCTTCTCTGGAGTTTCTCTGGAGGCTTTTCTGCAATAGAAGACACAATTAGCTGCTGTAATGGTCCCCCAGAGCTGCTGCAGCCCTGCCCTGCTGGAGCCATGCAGCCTCCCAGGGATGCCACTGGCTGATACCAACCACCTCTCAGTGAAGATTTTGAGTCAAAATTACCTTCTGGCTCAAGCTAGCACCTGACTGAACGTGCCCTTCATTGCATGTCTGGGTGGCAGGAAGGGAATGCCATGGTCTCTGCATGAATTTTCTTTTAGTGAGAGCACCCAAGCACTCTTTTGCTGTAATGCAGAGCAGGGTATTTATCCCTTGACCTGCGTTTCCCCTCATCAGTTTTCTGCTCATGGCCATGTCCATCTGAGCTGCCAACAGCTTGGTCTTTGCTCTCCAGACCCTTTCCCAGGGCAGTTTTGCACAATGGCTCAGTCGCTTCACATCCCCAGATCCCTCAAGGGTGGCAGCAGCCAGCAACACCCACCTTCACTGAGCTTGAGGTCAGGCACATCCTGCTGGGCTTCTTCTGCTTCCCTGTGCTCTGCTTTCTCTGTGCTGACATTCCTGCTCACTGGGGACAGTACAGTCAGAGGGGAGCTTGGTGTGGAGCAGCTTTCTCTGGAGGAAACTCCCGGGGTCCTTGTCCTGTCCCTGTTGGAAGGAAATGGACATGAATGAATGAGAAGGGGCAGGAGAAGGAAGGTTTCGGAGCCACTGTACTGAGAGCTCTGAGCCTGATACATAAATACACGTATTTATGTACGTGTGGATGTGGATATACCGGATCCTCAGACTCACCTCCTTCCACTGCAGCTTATCTGCAGCCCAGCTGCAGTCTGGATCATGGACAGAGCCAGCATGACAGCCCAAGGTGTGATTGCCCCACTTGCTTGTGGGCAACGTCGCAGGAAGCCACGATGTTGGGTAAGCCAGGACCCAGCTGTGGCTATTGCAAAAGCTCTGTGGGAACCTGTCCCTGGCTGGGCTTTCAGCCTGATGGAGGGGTGGATTCAGCACAGGGATGTGGTGTCTGCCCCCTGCCACCAAATCAAGATGGAGAGGCTGATGCTCTTGGTGACACAGAGGGAGTGCCTGAGCCTTGGAGACACACACAGAGTCCTGGATGGAGTCTGATGCTGAGACATGGATGTTTGGCTGGAAATCTTCCTATCCAGCATCTCAGGGGACAGCAGAGCAGAGCAGAATCACTCAGTGCTCAGCAAGCCCAGCCCAGCCCACAGCTCTGGAGCTACTCAGCTCTTGGGAAGCACTGGGGAGTAAAAGCCAGAGTTTCTCTTTAAGTGGATGGTGCTCCTGTGCTCCAAAGAAAACACATTTCTAAACTAATCCCTCAGTGCTAATTCCTCTGGACTTTAAACCCTTGAGGAATGAGCTGATTTGTATATATTGGCCAGCCTGGCTGGTTACTTGGCTTCCAGCACAGTGCTCTGCTGGGCTGTGAACCTGTTGGTGCAGATCACTTCTCCTTCTTTAACCCCATCACTGTCCCTTGTGTGTCACTCTCCTTCCTCCAAAACCACCTGCAGACCCTCTCTGGCTGCTGCAGAAGGGGAGCTGGTGCCATGGAAAAGCCATGGAATCCCAGGCTGAGGTGCCTGCAAGCTGCCCAGGGCTTTGTTTCCACAGGGTTAAATATCTTTGTTCCCCAAAAATGAATTGTTGGATGCTGGTGAACACGGCAGTGAGCAAAGGTCAACAAGGATTTTGAGACTATTAGGGATTTTTTCCATGTCTAACATACAAGAAGCCATGGGAATTAGATGCTAAAATACCCCTGAGGATGCCACAGTCTGGACATTTCCCTGCCAGCTCTGGGGATGCCCTGGCTGTTGCCAACACCCCTTGTAAAGAATGAAACCAGGAAAGTGCTTACTCCAGGCTCCGGAGCCTCTTCAGTTCTTCCTTGAGAGTTTTATTCTCCTCCCTCAGGCGATTGGTCTCGTTTGCTGCGGGGACAGAGGTGGTGATGTGAGTTCAGCTCCTGCCAGGGTACCACTCACAGCTGGCTGGGGTGCCCAGGGGAGGAGGAGGGAACGGCACCGAGTTTTGGAGGGATGCCGAATTTCCTTCCTCCTTTGTAAACATGCCGGGGCTAAGGGATAAAAGGGAGCAACTTTCTGACTCAAGTTTCATCAGGATTAGGTCTGCTTGCAGCTCACCCAGCTCAGGGGAAGAGCACAGTGGTGGATTGGGCACAGTGAACATCCTGCCCCTGAACACCAGGGCAGGGTGATGAGTGGGTGCTGTGTTAGGGGGAGGGCTGGGGCTCTCGGGGGGGATCAGACAGAGGCCAGAGGGAGATGTGAGCACCCAGCACCAGCGAGGAGGCCAGGGGAGCATGGCTGGGCTCCCAGGCAGGGTGCCTTGCCTTGCTCCTGCTCGAAAGCAGCACTCAGGGAACAGTGGCATAGCAGAGGAGATAAAACAAGGGCTCTTGGCACCTCTCCATCCCTCCTAAATGCCTTATCTCCTTTACACCCATGACCCTCCCTGGGCCGGTCAGATCCCCAGGGAAAAACACCCTGTGCCTCAGCGGTGCTGGGAGCTCTGCCAAAGGCTCAGGAGAGGATCCATCACATGTGTTGCTTGATTTCATTTACCCGTGCTGAGCTGCTGCTGTGACTTTCCTGTCTTTGCCAGAGTGTTGCTTCTGCCGTGCCAAATGCATCCTTTTTCCAGGCAGCTGACACAGCCTGGAATCTCTCATTTTTCAGGAGGTGAGGAGGGCTGCAACCCCCAGCTCTGATGATTTGTGTGAAGGGTTATGTCTGCTTGGGGGGACGTGAACTGCCATCCACAGTCCTGCTCCCTCCCTTCTCCCCATCCCCAAACCCTTCCCAGATTCCTGCTCCCCACAAGGGCTCACGTGCAAATATCTGGGAGAGGGATTAACAGAGCAAAAACTCAGCCTGCCAAAGCCAAGCTCACAGTGGGTGTTGGTACGTACAGAGGATGAAGATGTGCTGCAGGCTCTGGAAATGAGAGGTCTCGTACTCATTCTGCTTCTTTTTGGCCAGTTCCTGCGTGACCATGCATCTGTCACAAAGACCAGCTCGCAGCCTGGAGGAAGGAAACCCCACAGCTTCTTACCACACGGTTTCCATGGGAGAAATCAGTTCCTGCCCTGCTCATGGGGAAGTGTGAACACCCAGATCATCCCTGGCATCACCCCACAGCCCAGCACTGGCCCTTGCACCCCTCCAGATGCAGCCCCACCACCACCAGCTTAGGAAAGCTCCTCTGCATGTGCCCAGACTCCTCCAGCCCTCCCAGCAGCTGAGTAAAGGAAAAATAGAGGTTCATATTCTACATCCCACTCCTGGGGAGACAGCAAATCCCAAACTCTCCCCCTAGGACCGTGCAGTTGCTGCCACTCAGCAGCACCCCACTTAAAAACAAATCCTACCGGTTTTCTAACACCTTTACATTTTCTTTAAGGACCTTCTGTTGTTCCCTTAATTGGTGATTTTTAGCAAACAGCTCTTCAATTCTCTGAGCATCGCTAGTTGAAGAAGCAGAACAAAGAAAAGAGGGTTATTAGATTTCTCTCCAAAACACGTGCCTTCATCCACAGTGCCCTTTTTCTTGTGTGGCAGGAGGGGAAACAAATGTGTTGGAGCCTCCCTGGGACACCCTCCTTGGAGTTAGCAGCTTAATTCCCCCCACTTATTGTTTTCCAAGGGAGAAAGCACCGGGTGGCACAAGCATCACCAGCCAGTGGGAAAGCAAACTGGAGTTGGGATCACCCCAAACCCTGCCTGGAGCCAAAAGGCTTGAATTTGGCAGTGCCAGAAAGGCAGATGGTGCTCTCTAATCGGGCAGGAAGTCTGAAATTCCAGTGGTGTAACTTCCCCTCTGCCCCAGCATCGCTCACCGGCACTTCTCTGTGGTCAGCTCCGTCACCTTGCTGTGCAGACCTGGGGTAATGAACAGACACAGAGAGGAGGGTGGTTACTGCCAGCTCCCCAGCACTCAGAAGCAAATGGCACTGATGGAATTTCAGGAAGGTGCATGGCTTTGCAGAAATCTCATCCCTTCACGAGCCTTATCTCCGATAAGGAATAACACATTGCATGTGTTAAACACAATCACGGTTTAATGTACCAGGGAAAGTTGTACAAAATGTGAGCTCCTTTTGTATCCCCACTATTTAATGAGTCTGCATTTCCTTCACAGACACAGAAAGTCTGGTTTCATTTTGTTTCTACTTATTTCTCACTGCAGCCTGCATTTCCCAGGTGGGCAGTATTTTATAGCTTTCAGGGCTGGAAAGCATCTTGGAGAATATTTACAGCTGAAAGGCTTTCCTTGATGGATCTGCAGACGTTGTATCCTGTCAAATTCATTTTATGCAAAGTAGATGTAAACATGTGGTTTAAATTGCTCAACAGTTTCCTCTAACTCTCACACAGCTTGAAATTACACAAGAGAAGAATGAATTCATAAGCCAGAATCATCCAAAAGTGCTGAAGTTTTGTTCATAATATTGATACTGGGAATTATTCTAATAGGAAAACAATTGGACTTGGAACTTGGTTGCTTAACCTAATGGGTTTTATTTTAATAATATATGGCCTGAGAAATAATTTATTCCCTAGAGGAATAAACTATCTAACCCGACTCAAACATTTTCTTTAACAGAGCTTCATCTCCTGCTACTTGTGTCGTACAGATTATTGCATCTTTCCACTTTCCCTTTGATCCCTCAGTGTGCAGATATACTCCTCACTGCTTGGAGCAGATGCCCAGCAGGTGTGTGTGTCACCCCTAGAAACCTCTCAATTTGCCTTTATCACAGACCCTGGCAGCAGGGGCAGGAAAGGAGCCAAATCCCCCATGGTTAATACTTGGAGCAAGTGGGATTCCTTCAAGGGCTGAGCATCCCCATGGCTTGTGTTCCAGATGCATAGAGTGCAGGAATGTCCTCTCTCTTCTGCTCCTTCTCATCATTCAAAATGATGTTCTCAGTATGCCAACCAGAGGTACAGACATGCCAGTGGGTGTTCTCCCCTGAGGGACAGGCTGTGACCCCATGTCCCAGTCCATCCCCGTGGCTGCTGCTTGCTCAGCACTAATCCCCAAATCTCCCTAATCCACACCTGCTCCTCCTCCTTTCACATTATTTCACACCAAACAGATCAAGGTGGTATTACAAAGAAATGGATCTTGCCCAGTTTTTGATAAGAAAATTATGTCTCCCTACCTTGGACCTCCTTCTCATGGACTTCCTTGAGCTTGTTCAGGAACTCTGCAAAGCTTTCTGTGGTCATGTTAAGGGCTGAGCCACAAACCAGGCTGTGTCCAGTGTGAGGATGTCCTTTTGCTTCAAATTATTCAGGTTTCAGCCTAAAATAGAAAGAAGAAGTCCAACAAAAAGCATGTGCCTGGTGCATGTGGTGTTCTGGAAAGGACAAAGCCCAAAGCTAGGAAGGGAAATCATTTGCTAAACCATGGGATGCATTTTTGTCCACCCTGCCTCAGCGCTGAGCATAGCAAAGAGCATGTCTTAGATACCAAGAGAAACCCAGCTGGAAAATCAGGCTTTTCCTCTACTTGTTGAGCAGTTTAAATTGCATTTCTCTGGGATGAGGTGGGGCAGGGCATCTTCTGGAGCATAAAGCAGGGACTGCAGAACTCGCGCTGGGACCACATGGGGACTGATGATGGGGAAATTCACAGCAGTTTTGGTGTTTGACTCTCATGGACTCATCTCCTGCTGGGATGCTCCCTTGCATCCCCCCTCACTCTGGCACAATGCACAGCTTTTATGGGGGCAGCACACAGCACTTGGCCACTGCCCAGGCTTCCTGCACGGCCTCGCTGGCTGTAGCTGCTCTGAACCCCTGGGAGACACCCAGCAGAGCTTTTTCACCCGATGGTACAGAGAAACCAGGGGAGGTGGTGTCCTGAGCCAAGAGCTGCAGGAAGCTGTGCATGGGCACAGCACCCATGGGGTCCTCTGGGACCACCAAAACCACACAGGGAAAGAGGAACTTTCACACGAAGGCGTTTAGCATCTCCACATGGGAACTTCTCCTCCAGAATCATCCTGGGTTAGTGAGTTGTGGCGAGTAATTCCGATCCCAACTAAGCACCTGGACGCTCAGCCTTCAACCATGAAGAGATGAGCAGGGGGCAAACCTCCTGTGCTGCTGGGAAGTGAAGAGTGGGCTGGGATCTGGTCTTTGCAGCCCCACGGGGAAGGTTTGTTCCAGCGCTCTCTCAGCCCGGCTCCTGCCCGTGCCTTTATCTGCATGCGGAGCAGGGATGTGCCAGATCGCCTGCATATGCAAGATGTGGGCATGCAGAGCTGGAAGAAGAAAGTTTCCCCTAAAGCATCTGATTTTCAAAAGAAATGAGGCACGCGCCAGCAAGCACGAGCAGCGAGCTCGGCACGCTTGGGTCGGCGGAGCAGCTGCCTGAACACGAACCATCCCAGAGCCTCTTCCTTTGGCTTTTGAGCAAATCTGGTGCAAACAGAGTAGAGATCTTACTCTCTGGGGAAACAATTTAAAAATATTCATTATTGCTGCTTCCCTGAGCATAACCCACCCGTTCCCAGGGCTGGGTGATCTAACCCAGCAAATAAAAGCACGGTGCGGCTCGTCCAGCTCGAGGTCTGCCACTGGGAAATGGGATTGGGAACTGATCTCAACCCCAAGAGCCACAGCTGGAAAGCCAGCCAGGGGAAATAACATGCAGCTCTACTGCAAAACAGGAAAAAAACCCTCCTGATGTTAATGGGATGCACTTCCCAGGATCACTCGGTCCTAAATTAGTCTCTGCCCTGGGCAAAGCACCTCCCCAGGGCTGAAGGGAGGTTGTGAGATCAACCACTGCCATCACGGGACTGACACCCCAAGTGCCAGCTGGGAAGGCTCTGGAGCACTCAGGCACTAATTCCCATTGCATTCTCCAGGGCTGTAATCTGGGAAGGGATTGTAACTGGGAGCAGAGGAGTTGGTGGCTGTGTGCTCCTACCGAGCTTGCTGCTGCTGGGTCAGGTCCTGCCCGCCTTGTACGGAGGGGTACAGCCCTCTCCCCACGGCTGGTGTCTTGGAGGGCTGGAGCCAGCATTGGGGACACAGGGATGTGGCTCAGCCATCCTGGGAAGGTGACAGCCTGGCTGGGAGTGCTGCCAGCCCGCTGCTCAGGAGGAAGGGCTGGGCTGGCAGGTGGAGGGAGGCGTGGGGGCAGCCCAGGTGCTCGGTGCTGGATCTGGATCCCTGCAGTGACTCAGGGCTGCGGGCAGAGCCCAGCACATCAGCATTTGGGGCTGGGGTGTGGGCAGCAGCTTTGCCTTCCAAGCACAGCTGTGGCTGTGGTGCCAACAGGGTTGGGGTTTACTCCTGATTTTCTTTTCCTCAGAGGCCTCAGGTGAGTAGGGGCCTGTGACCTGCTGCAGATCCAATCAGCAGGGAAAAGCTGCCAGTTTTGGTGCTTTCTGAGATGCCAGAACCATCTCTGCCTGCAGATGGAATAACCACTCTGCGGCAAACCTGGTGAGGACCTCGGCTCTCATCTGTGCACTCACATGGCAATAGAGATCCCTCATGAGCATCGTTCCCCATAAGCTTTTTCCCAGGATTCAGCCTTCTGCTGCAGCAGAACAGCCCCAGTGACAGCCCAGGCTCCCTGAGAGGCTCAGCTTTGCTCCCTCTCACCCGGTGTGGACAGGTGAAGGTGTGAAGCTGCAGCTCCCAGCTCCTCTACCCTGCTCTGGAGGATTTACTGAGGGAGATTTATGGCTGAAACCCAGACCACAGAATTCCTCAGTGTGGAGCTTGTTCCCTGAGACAGGGATTTCATTTCCAGCCCCAGGCCCTTTGCAGAGCTGTCACTGGGATATAGAGCCAGCAGTGCTGGCCCGTGGCAGGGTCAGAGCAGCCCTTTGGCATCCTGGCAGGGCCAGGAGTATTTCAAAGTGATGTGTGCCCTCTGCAAACAGAGCCCCAGTGTTGGGGACCAAAGGCAAACTCCTCATCCAGCCCCTAAATCTGGAAGGTTTGGAAAGCCCAGGGCCTGGGGTGAGCTGTTGTTAAGTGCTGTGGCTTTGCTCACCTGCTCTCTGCATCCCTCGATGCTCAGCTCAGGGTGGGACAAGGGCTCCAGTTTGGGGCACAGGGTCCCTGGGATGTCTGCTCTCATACATGGGGCTGGAGCAGCCCCCAGCATCTCCTGGGTGCCAATGGCATCACTCCTTGGCCAGGATGCTCCTGTTGTGGCTGGGGAAAGGAAAAGCAGCAGGGAGGTTATTTTCTGTCCCATCTGAGGGGGCTGGGGAAGGGATGGACTTGGACTGGCTCTGACAGCACAGCCAACCCCCATTCCTTGGTCCCCAGGGAGTTCCTGACTTCTCAGTGCCATCCCCTGTGACTGCCTGTCACACTCACAGTGAGCACATCCCCACCCTGAGCTCTGTCTCTTTTCAGGAGGATAAAGCAGCTCATTAGCTAAATGAGCTTAAGTCATTAAAAAAAAAAAAAGAAAAAAGGCAGGAAAGAAAAAGGCAGGACTGTGACATTCTGATACTGTGGGATCAGTGAGGCTTAATGGATTTACCAGCAGATATTTCCCCATCAGCAGTGCTGGAGTTGCTCAGCTCCAGGCTGGATTGATGTCACACATCTTTCTCTGGGAGATTGCTGGGCAGAGCTGCTTTGACCAGCCAAACTTTCTTTCCTTGGCTACCCTACTATGTTCCTGGTCTAATTTTAGAATTATAAAACAAGTTTGTACTCAGAAAAACTGCCTGATCACTCATGGAAAATCTGCAGTGCCAGGAGTATTTCACAGGCCGGTGTGGAGTAATGCTCTTTGCGGATGTACTCGGCTTGGCAGTTTGAAGAGGGCTTTTTTGGTACTTTAAGGGATTCTTCTTTTTTGCTGGGTATTTATTTATTTGCATGATTTAACGTGGCACAGACTGCCCTAAAATGGAGCCCAGTGCCTGCTCTCCAGCGTGCTGGGTTTGCTGTGGGTGCTGCACGTGGGCTGCCAGATTGCAAAATTACCTCCCAACAAGAGAGACAGGAGGAGCAGCCTTGGCTCTTGCCTCTCCAGGGAGGAGGATTTGGTGCCTTCCTCTACCTCGCACAACCTGAAAATCCTCCCTGGAGCAGAGCAGCTGCTCCGTGCTGCTCCACCAGCCCAGGCCCGGTTTGCAGCAAGCCCCAGGGTTGCCTCTGCCGGCTGCTGCAAGGGGGTCCCACTGGGGTGATGTGGAGCTGTGACCTGCCCCAATGGCCCTTTGTGTTTGTGGGGACTGGTGCTGGTCACAGCCCCTGAACCAGCTCAGCAGGATCAGCAGCACCAGGGAGATGCTGCCCCTGCTCGTGTGTGCACAGACGTGTCCCACTGCAGGGAGAGCTGAGCTGGAGCAAACCCTCCAAGATGCAGCTCCAGCCTCAAGTCCCAACCTGTACACTGATTTATTTCTACCCCATAAAGTCTCTGTTGCCATAATACAGCACAGCCCTGGTGATCACAAACTCAGCATCTCAATTTCTTCCCCACCACCCTGGCCCTGTGGAGGCAGCTTCTGCTTTTCCAATTGCTGTGGCAATCATCAACCCCCCAGTTTGAGTTTTCTTCCATTACCTCATTTCTGCTCAAGAGCCCTTATTCCCCTCAAGAATCCTTGTTATTCCTTCCAATAGGGACATCCCTCCTCCCAACAGAGTCCTGGCTGCCCTGAGCTTGCAGGATCACTAAAACCAGAGCTGGTGGTCCTCTGCAATACCTGAATACCCCCAGGGATCTGACTGGCTTTTACACAGCAGGCTGAGCAGTCTGGGGATCTATCCTTGCACTGGCTCCATCTGGGAAGGAGGTTTTGTCCTCCCACTCCCCAACTGCTGCTGCTTTGCTGAGGTTTAACAGTAAATATTTGTTCTGCTCCCCACTTGAGGACAAATGACATTTGGAGCCAGCAGCTGTGCCGTGATGCTCCCCAGAGTGTGGTGGGCTTTGGGCAGATCAGTGGGGCAGGCCTGTCTGCCCACAGGAGGATTCAGAAGATGATTAAAAGTATCCACTTATCTGCCTGTGCATCTTGGGGTAACCACAGGTTCTATAAACATTACTCAATTAACACCTCAAAATGCTCTGGGAAGTGGGTAACGAGGTATTATCACATTTTTTGGGCGATTTAATTGAGAAGTGGTGAGGCTCAGGAATAGCTCAAGGCCCTGTTGAGATTGGAGGCACGTGGTCACTGCCCATCCAAAACACAAAACACTTCCACTGCCACCCCCAGCTCCAGATCCCCTGGCTGGGCAAAGTGGCAGGAAAATACCCTGGGAATCTCTGAGAGGTGGTGTTATCACCCCACGCTCTGCCTGTGATCCCGTTACGCTGCTCATGCTGCCTGGAGAGCATCTTGGTCTCACTGTCTTCTCCTCCACAGCAGGAGACCTCCCCAGCAGCATGGCTCAGAGCCCACACTGTTCCTGACATGGGGAATTCATCATTCGTGGAAAAGCAGGTCTTGTGTGGGAGAACAGGCACGAAGATTCCTCTCAACCACACTTCCATACACTGGCACCTCTGCTCCTGCTGTGTGAGGGGTGCACGGGCATCCTGAGTCAAGGTAATGGCCATGCAAATGGAAAAGAGCAGATGTCTCTCCCCTGGGTATGAAGATATCCCTGGATATCCCCAGATGATGAAGTCTTGGAGAGGATCAGCTTTTCTCTTCAGCACCATTTAAAAAAGGAGAAATGTGCTAGGAAGACCTAGCCCTGCAAAACCCTCCTGGGTGTTTAGCCCTGCTGCAGCACCAAGGACGAGTCTTACCAACTCAGCCCCATGTCGTGCTGTCCAGCAGCTGGGACAAACAGAGATGGGCACTTTTACAGACTGAGGCATCTCTGCATGTCCCAAACTCCTGGTGACACACTGGTGTTGGGGATACATTGCTACCTAGGCTAGGTTTGTAATCAATGCATCAGTGTCCTACATTCTCCAGGGGAGGATCTGTGGTCATCTCCTCTGTAAGAGCTCTCAGGACTTTCCCCATGGTGGCACTGTCCTGGCAGAAGGGACAAGGAGCAGGCAGTGGGGACAGTGCCACCCACAGCAGCAAACCCCCATGCAGGGAGGCAGTGTGTGTAGGCACAGTCTCTCCCCACCATCACTTCCTTCCTCCTGGATTTAAAATAGGGAAGGAGGATGCCAGCCCTCGGTAGCATCACACCTCGTGCCTGGGGCTGCTGGAAGCCCAGCGAGCTTCAGCCTCTCTGAATATTTATGCTGCCTGAAGGAACATATCTGGACAACCCAGGAGGGCACTGTCAGGATGTCCCACAAGGGACACAACAGGGACAGATGGCCACCATTGAAGTTATTTATTGCCCAGCATGTGCATGGCTTGGTGCAGGTCAGGGCAGGCTGAGATGCTGCATGGAAGGTGGATCAGGTGTGGACAGGGGTGCTGCCCCCCCAGCACCCAGCACAAACACACAGGTGCTGCCAGCCTGGGATGGGCACATCCTGGATCCCACACTGTCCCACTGTCTATCCCACATGGCTGTCACACTGCTGGATGTTTGCTCAGACAAGTTTTCCTGCCTCTGGTCCCCCCTTGCTGGATGCAAACGTGACTGGGCTCCCCGGTACTTCCATAAACCCTGACAGCCACAAAGTGCTCTGACCCTCCACAGCTATTTCACTCCATCTGAGCAGAGCTGGATGCCATTTCTCAGCGTTTTGGATCGCAGGGATATCCCATTACCTTTCATGCTCAGGTGGAAAACGCCAGAGGAAGTTTTTGTTAAGAGGAGAGCTCCGGGGTGGTGGCTGGGCAGCGCCGCACAGCCCGGGTGGGCTCAGGACCCCTCCCCACCGACCCCTCTGAGTTTGCCACAAACCATCGGCTCCCACAAACCCAAATTTCCTCCTCGAACTCTGAGAGGGGACAGAAAAGCAAGCAAACCCGTGACACACCAACCTCTGCCCATCAGATGGGAACTGGACCAGGCTCCATCTGCCCGCACCGAGTGACAGCTCTCCCGGCGCTCTGCTGAGCCAATTTTGGGCAGCTCTCCATGTGTGTCTCACACCAGCTCCCTTCCCAGCTACACAACACTGCCCAGGATGCTGGGGGACAGATGAAAATCAGTGCAAGCACAATACTCACGGGGAGGACTGTGCCTGTGCCTCTTCCTGGGCTCCTGGAGCTGCGTTTGGGTGGTGATCAGGAGAGGGACATCTGGGACTCGGGAGCCAGCAGTGAGCAGTGTGGGTGAACTTGCACAGACAATAAGCCGTAATTTTTCCTTGCAGCCCGACTGGTTCTACTGGTTTGCGTTTCTTTACCCCAGCAGCAGAAAGGAGGCTCAGCTTAGCTAAAGCTGCCCAACCGGTCCTGCTGTAACACAAAAAGCGGCAGGACCAGTATGGTGTGAACCCAGATAGAGATTTGATTGTTTTCCCATAATTACTGCTCAACCTGCGCTGTTGGTTGAAGTCAATCGCATTAGCAAACAGACCCTTTTAAATAATTCATCCGGCATTAAGATGGGAAGGTTTTTTGTTTTATAAAACTTGGCACTTTTTTGAGAAGAGGAAGAAAAAAGGAAAAGAAATGTGACAGCAGAGCAGCAGCAGCATCCTGCTAAATTAGAGTGGCACAGCCAGGGCACACAACAACTCCCAGCCCAAACACTCGGGAGAGGGAAAGTGCCCAAATTGACACAAATTGTTGCTTCAAATGCAGGATGAAACCCCGTGATCTTCCTGGATTTTCTTCTGGGGGCACTTTGCAGCGGCTGGGGATGCTTTAGGGACCAGTGAGGAAGGGCTGGGTGGCTCGGGCGCTGATCCTAGCTTAGCCCGGGTTTCCTCCCAGCTCCAGCTGCTGACACAAGCAGTTTTCACCCTAAACCGTGGGCTGGTGGAGCCGAAGGCAAAATGGACACTTCCTGAGCCTTTGAAGTGCAGCTACTTCAGCATCCCCTGGGGAAAATGCTGTCACGGATTCCCCAGCCCAGGCTGGGCAGGGACAGCCTTCCCCCGCAGTGCTGCAAGACAGCAGCAGCTCCAGGAAAAAGCAGGAGATGCGCTTGCTCCCCATCACGGCACTGATAGAAAGGAATAGAAAGTTGGTGCCTGCGTCTCTGGGGCCCAGGCAGCACATCCTGCTTTGCCAAAAGCTGCTCTGCCAGCTGGGCCCTGCTGTGCTGGCACAGCCACCTCCGAGCACCTCTGGCTCGGGAGGGACGCGTCCTTCTTGCTTAATAGGACACGTAACCTGAGCAGGGTGGCTTCCCTGTGACATTTCCAGCGCCAGCGGATAGGGAGAGCTCCTGTGGAAGGGGATTTGGAGCACCGAGGCTGAGCTGCTCCTCCTGAGTCATCCCACGCTGTGCATCCCCAGAGCTCGGTGCCCAGCCACAGCTCAGACCCTCTGCTGGGGTGAAGCCCCTCCATCCTCCAGCAGCGATGCCACTCCAGGGGCTCAGCTGGCTCCTCAGCCATCCCAGCAGAGCACTGAGCATCCTTGGCAGCGTTTCCCTGTGGCAGTCACATCTCTCAAGCGGTGTCTTTGAGCTCTGCTCCCGCTCACGGACAGGTTGGGCAGGTGGGAGCAGCTGGGGCTCCCAGGAATGTGGCTGCACACCCATGCTATGGAAATGGGTGGCAGGTAAACAAGCAGCTGCTAGGCAAGCCGTGGTCCTGGGCAGACCTGTAGGGACTGTTTGGTGATTGCTTTACGTGCATGAAATTCCTGACTCATGCCTCTGCAAGAGGGACACAGCACAAGGTTATGGGGGTGATTTCCATCCAAGCCTTCTTATGAGCCACCTGCAGTGGGCAGAGGGAAGCTCTCGGCCTTAATATTCCCTCTTTTCTTTTAAGGCCTTTGTTTTATTGTCGGATATGACAATTAGAGATCGACTGCTAGATAGGGCCTGGCACCTGGGGCTGATGCTTGTGGTGGTGGAATTAATGGCAACCACATGGAAGAGAGATCCTTGCTCAGCCCAGCCTGGTGACACCGTGGGAGGGGCAGTGGAGTAACTGGGAGGTGTGGGGTGTGGGGAAATCACCTGCAGCAGCCAGACCTCCCAGCAGTGACACTGGGACCTGGGACACCGAGCCATGGGGGCACTGGCACCATCCCACACCTGCCTCCAACAGCTCTGTCTGGAACATCAAGGAGAGAAACACCAAAAGAAGGGAGCAGCTGCTTGTGGGTCTGAGGATTGAGGCAGAGCAGCTGTCTGGAATTATGCTGGTGCACAAGAAAGCAGAATGGACATTTTTGGGAATCATCTCCATATAACCTCCTCTTGTCTTGCAGGTGTCTACTGATGATCACACAGATTGCTCACAGAAACCAAAGGTTCTCTGCTTTCTGGCTGAAGGGCCAAAAGATCTGGGCAGAAGTGGCTTCTCTACATCTAGGGACTTAGGAAAAAAAAAATCAAGCCCTTTTTATAGAAGGAAAACAATAAAATAAGAAAAGAAATGCAAATCCACTGATGCAACGTGAAGGTGTTTGATCAAGACTGAGACAGGTGTCTGCACTGGAAAGCTGGAGAGATGGCAGAGCACCTTTACTGGGCAAGACAAGAAGGACCTTCAATAGGCTCCAACCTTTTTTTCTGGATGTGTAATGGGGAAACAATTCTGATGCTGAGAAAACTCATCCCCAGAGCTGAGTCATACTGACCCCCACCCAAAAGCAAAGGGTAAGAGCAAGTTAGGCTTTCAGGAACAGCTGGTCAACAAAATTAACATCTGTTATGAATGCAACTTATCCTTCACTCCATAGGATCAATAGAATGGAAAACCCCTTCGTGTCAGGAAAGAAAGCACATGCTTTGTTCCCATCGCAGGGGACACCACAGGGCACTAAATACACCCAGGAGAGATGTTCCCTGTGGGCTGGGCTCCAGTGCCTGAGCACAGAGCAGAGCTGGAGATCAAATGCTGATGCATCCAAGAGCCCAGGTCACCAGGTGATTTTGTGGTGACATGGCCAGAGGTGGAGGCCAGCATCCTGCAGCACCCCTGGGACAGGAGCCAACAGGCTGGGCTGAAATGGGCTCTTGCCCATGGATGTGGATGGAGGCCACAGGTGAGGATGCTGTTAAAGCCCATTTGGGTGCTGACAAAAACATCCCCACATCATCAACAATAACTCAGGCACAAGGGATCAGCTTCTCTGGGCAACGTGTGCCAGCACCTGTAGGATTCCTCCCCAGTACTCACTCTAACACCACCCTCTGCCTCTCAGTATGAAGCTGTTCCTCCTGGCCCTGTCACTCGTCACATGTCAGCCTGAAGACACTTCACAGCCTCATCCTCTTGGGCTTTTCATCAAACCCCACCTGAGCAAACCCAAAAGAGTTCCTGCAGCAAGAACAAGCACAGGGTAACAGCACTGCTGGGCAGACGCTGCCCCACAGCAGGCACAGAAACAAAAGCAAAAATATACAGAGGAGGTAGATCAGCCTTACCAGCCGGGTGCTGCAATGAGAGAAGGAAATATTCCCTCGATGAGCCAGGAATCCCGAGCGGGCTCTGGCAGGGCTCGCACGGAAGGCACCACACACATAGCAGGCAGCTTCCACCAGAGGCTGCTCGATGGCTTCGAAACACTCCTCTGCTGCTGCTGCCTGCACAGGGCACAGCCCCGGGACATCCCCGGCTCAGGCTTCGGGAGCCCACAAACCCGGAGGGTCCCCATCACCCTGGGCAGTGCTGGGTGCTGCACCCGAGGGATGGAGCATCATTACCTGGGGAACCAGGGCAAAGAGGCTGCTGACTGCTTTTCTCACCTTGGAAAGGTGGAAAGGCTCTGTAAAAGTGAGACAAGGAGAGGCTTATTTAAACCAGTAGTTTTCTGGCGTTATAAGCATTTAAATTACACTAATTAACAAAGGCAGCCTTTGTGGGCTGTGGTTGTGCCACTGGGTGTGCATGGGGTGGCACTGGGTGACACAGGGTGACACAGGGTGCAGGTGAGAGACACATGCTTTAACCCGGGAGGACACCCACAAATCTCAGAAAGATGCACAGAAAAAGCTACCTTGAATTATCATTACTACAACATACAAAACCAGATCAGCTGGGAAGAGCTGTGAGGGTTTTCTCTCAGCTGGAAGGAGAAGCAGATGAGCCCTCTCCACTCTGGCTCAGGTTTCCTTCACCTTCTCCAACCTGCACCATCTGGGCTGCAAACACCCTGGGTGTGCAGCTCTTGCCTTCCAAGGTGCTGGGAATGTGCAGGAGAGTACAAAGACATCATCCAACTGGGTGGAAACTGTTCTCAACGAGGTGTAAAGGGGTGGTGGGAAGGGAGCTGTCGATGGCAGGCTTTGGCACAACTTGTCTAGTCAGGAAACATGTTGTAAGTTTTTGTGATCCCACCTAAATTCACCTACTCCTGTTGCTGTTGCTCACATTTTGCCAATAAACAAAAGTTCAAGTATTTTATACCCTGAAAAAATTGTCTGTGTGGATGGTGTGGCTTGCAGAGTTCAGGGTGCCTGGCTCCCTGCTGAGGATGCTGAGGGCTGGGTGGGCTGTGCCAGAAGTTGAAACAAACACTTTTAAACTTTACAAACATGTTATTTTTTGACTCATCTGCCTTCCTGCCTGCTCTCAGCCAGCAGTGGCTCAGCCCAGGCTGGGGATACACAGATGAGTTGAACTGTTGGGGTTCTTCTCTTCACCTCTGCCTCCCCCTCCTCCTGCAAGGAGGAGATTAATGCAATTAGGGTTTTGTAACCATTTTCTGTCTAGCATGAAAACATGTAGAGGGAGTGCAGAGCTGGCTCCTGCTGCCCAGGGATGGAGGACAGCCAGGCAGCCCCTCTTCCAACTTGCATCCCATCCAGGCTGGACCAGGATGCCAATCTTGACCAAAATTCATCTTTTTTTCTATGGGTAGAGGAGAGCCAGGTCTTTTTTCAGCTGGCTCCCACTTGACTAAACCAAGGAGGACCCTGCTGTCCTCTGACACATCCTGGCTCTCTTTTAAGCGGTCATGACCCATAGTTTGAGAAACTCTGCACTTAATAGTCCTTCCTGTCTCTTACTCCTCCATCTCTGCTCTGTCTCCTGCAATATCCATTTTCCCTTGCCCCTCCCTCCTCCTCTGGCCAAAAAGAAGTAAAAAATTAAGTGTGAATTTCAGAGCAAAAGATGCTTTTGTGTTTTTTTTTACAGAGACACTGAGAAGTGAAGGCAAAACCCTTCCCATAAATTATAGTCCTATGAAAATGGCTCAAATTGCACAGAG